TGAGTGGGTAGCTAGTGGTGGCGGTCGAACCGGAAGTGGCAGCGGAAGGGGGAATCCCGGGCACAGAGGTGCCTCAAGAACCCACTCCAGATCTGCTGCCAGTGCCAGTTGCTCTGTCGAAGTGCTACTACCGCAGCTGCAGCCACCTCCCGAGGTTTGGCTGGGGGGGGGGAGGAAGTAGCGATCCGGTGACTTATGGCTTGCATGTCCGCAGAGAGGGTCTGCGTGCCAACTGTGGTACGTGTGCCATAGGTTCGCCATCGCTGGCCTAGGCTAATCCTCCCTGCCCTCTTCTTGGTTGTGTATTTGAATAGTAGTCTATTCATTGTGCATGAATTGTAACACATCATTCCCCTGTATCTAGCCTGAGTTGGACATGGATCTCGCCTGCATTTTCTGACCAATGTTTGTGAAATAACTTTGTTGCTATTTGTTGGTAGCTTTATTCTTACTGCACCTATGTTTCTCCTTCATTCATTGCATCAGTGTCTGAATATCAATCTTCCTTCTCTTTTTTTCTCAGTCCAGTCCCATCTTTCCTTACTTTTTGTACTTATAACTTATTTGAACAAGGCTGTACAGTGGACCATGTACTTACAGAATTAATCCATATTGGAACGGTGGCTGCAGGTCGAAAAGTCTGTAGGTTGAGGCTCCGTTGACCTACAATGCATTGAAAATCGATTAATCCGTACCTGGACGGATGTTTTTGTTCCATTTTGGTTTTTTTCTGGTCTGTAGGTCGATTCTCAGGCTGCAAGTCGAACCTAAATTTTGCAGCCAGAGAAGTCTGTAACTTGAAAAGTCTGTAAGTCGAGGGTCCACTGTACGTGGTTCTTAGTATTATTTTAGAAGTACTTCTGTTTTTAAGAACTTCCTTTAAGTATTAGAAGCCCCATCATCCTCTTGCACACTAGCATGCACTCATAGATACACACAAACACATTTGTTTTGGAACCAGTTTATAAGGTTATGTTTGATTGCAGTCTGGGATGCTTAGTGTGTTTCTTCTGTCTTTACAGAGTAAGTGCACAAGAACCCCATTAAGGCACAAACACTTCTGTTTTTAAGAACTTCCTTTAAGTATTAGAAGCCCCATCATCCTCTTGCACACTAGCATGCACTCATAGATACACACAAACACATTTGTTTTGGAACCAGTTTATAAGGTTATGTTTGATTGCAGTCTGGGATGCTTAGTGTGTTTCTTCTGTCTTTACAGAGTAAGTGCACAAGAACCCCATTAAGGCACAAACATTGAGACATAAAATTATGCAGGGGGTGGATAAAGTGGATAGAGGGAAGCTCTTTTCCCTCTTATGCAATACTAGAACCAGGGGACATCCACTCAAATTGAGTGTTGGGAGAGTGAGAACAGACAAAAGAAAATATTTTACCCAGTGTGTTGTTAGTCTGTGGAACCCCTTGCCACAGGATGTGGTGATGGCATCTGGCCTAGATGCCTTTCAAAGAGGATTGGACAGATTCCTGGAAGAAAAGTCTTATCACAGGTTACAAGCCACCTTTTTCAGATCCACAGGGGGCTTGGAACTGATCCCCCCACCAGATACAGGGGTCTTACTATAGGCTGCATTTTTATCCCTTCCATCTTGTAATTTAATATTTTAAGCAAGCACACTAATATAAACAGAAGCATGCCTCCAGTCCAATCACTATCTAAAAGGTTCCTAAGATTAGTGCTTGAAGAGGAAAAAATATACACACTCTTTTAAACAAATCCATATAAACCATATAATGCTATTGATATGCTGGTTCAGTTGGATCTGATAATCAGCAGCTTTAATCTGTGGTCGAACCCTTATTCCAAACCTTTGGCATAAGTGTTTAATTTTCTTTTTTCCTCCTAATTCATGTTTCAGGGGGAAAAGGTATGTGGAACATCTTTGATTCAGGTTTGGTTTAACTCTTAGAATAAAGCAATATAACACTGGTGTTCTGGCTGATAAAAATTTAGTTTTACAGGAACAATATACAGATTAAAAGGACAGCTGAACAAACTAAAAGGAGACAACCAGACATAAGGGCAAGTACTTGTTGCTAGTGAATGATCCAACTCAGGAGTGGAAAACTGACCTTACAGATGCTTTTGGCCTACAATGCCCATAGATCCTAGCCTTATTTCACAAAGGTGTGGCATTATGGGAACTGAGTCTAAACAACTTCTAGAGGGCCGCATTTAACTGGTCCAAGGCTTCTATGCCTGTTTTTCTAAGAATAAGCTCCATTAAGCTTGTGTTAAAGGTAAAGGTAATGGTTCCCCTTGACAATTTTTGTCCAGTCATGTTCGACTCTAGGGAGCGGTGCTTGTGTTACTTCCAAGTAAATCTCAGGAAGATCATAGAATTGTGATCTCCTATTTTGAACTCTGTTCCTGGGTTGAAGGCAGAATACAAGGAATTATTGACCTGTGCCATTCTAAAGAACAGATGAGTTCACTTTGGTACCTTCATTTTTTTGTACCTCTGTGCTCAAGTGAACAAAGTTCAGACTTCTGGATGTTGTTGGACGGCAATACAACATATCCCTAAGCCAGCCTAACCAGTGGTGAGGAATTGGGGGTTGTGTTCCAGTAACACATGGAGGGTCATATATTGACCATACCCAATTTATATGTTCTTGCAACAAATTGGGCAGCTCAATCCGTCCAGATTTTTGGGACTAGTACTTTGATAATAACTCATCATTATCTGTGCTGCCTAAGGCTGATGGGAACTGGCCAATAACATGTGAAGGACCATAGTTGTTCATCAGTACCTTAGGGTATGCAATGCCTTTAATTAAAACCATTTAGAGTTACAAACATCTGTGTGGCTCAGGGACGTTACTATGAATGGTCATGTTTTTATGTAGCTCTCTTACCAAAAAGATTCCCAGTGGGGTATAGTGGGTAGAGTGACAGACTAGGACTCTGGAAAACGGTGTTCAACTTGACCATGGAAACTCAGTGGGGGATGTGGAACTGGTAAAAGCACTCCGTAAATATCACACTTACCTCGAAAGCCCTATTAGGGTTGCCGTAGGTCAGTTCCAGCCTGATAGCACAGAACATACATTCTTACCAAGGGCTTTTGCAGAAAAAAGTTCTGAAATGCAAAATACTACACAAATGTTCTTGCAGTTTTCTCTGGTAGGGATAAAACTTTTAAAGTTTTTTTATCCTCACCAGTAGGAACAAAATAAGTAAAGATTTGTATTGCTGCTCCTCTGTGGACATGTACAGGAGTGCACTGGAAGTCTGTCTTCAGGAGAGGAGGAAAACACTACTACTCTTCTCATTATGCAATCTGCGTAGTATGATACAATTTTATTTAGAACATGCTGCCCTTAATTTGGCTATACAAGTCTCTAAACTCCAACCCAAATCATCCACATCTCTAGTCATGCTGCCTCCTTGGGCTTCTTGGAATTGAAGGCAAACCATCTGGAGGGCCAAAGTATTGTGTTTTTCAACAGGCATCAGCATTATAATCCAGTGGC